TTCTTGTGTGTCTCTATTAAACTCAGAACAGAAGTATTTATAATACATACTGGTAGACTTGTAGAATAACTAGGAAATTTAAACTTGTAAAACAACTAAAACAACTAAGAACTGGACTTCTAAACATCTTCGAATTCTTCTTCAGGATGCTTTTGGCATCCACCGTCCGATAGCCTCCATCACCCAATGCATGTTGAATACGTGAGCTGTCGCCTGCTGGTTCGGTGGGTCATGAGCTGGACCTCCATCATCTTCTTCCTCAAGACTAAATTAGAGAAATATTAACGAATGATGAGTAAAGTCCCAAACCCATCACTAACGATGCAGTACACTATTTCACTGGAAATAACAGCTATTGGTAGACCTACAACCAGGTCTACCATCGCATCAGGAGGATTGTTGTTAATGAACCAACTATTTCCATTATCAACTTTGTCCTTTAACATAACAATAAGCATCAACAACTCCCATAGACTGTGTCCATCACCAATTCACCACCCTAAGAAGACCTGGTATACTATTCCAAAACAGTTCAATACCTGGTATGCTATTTCACTTGCTAGGAAACTTCCTCAGATGGCTGATCAGTTGTCATTTGGAATCTGCAAATAAAGATGAATTAGCCATATTTGAAGTTATGATCCCGCATGAATTCCTCTGGAACCTGCAAATGGAACTAAACCAGCCAGATTTGAAACTATCAACTACCGTGGTGTCATGAGCAATGACTAGTGTCTAGTGATAACGATTTGTGATGGTGTTGGCTGGAGTCGAACTTAAGTAAATTGCAGCTGAAGGTCCTTTTTTGCTGATAGATTATCCAATTCCTCTGCTTCATGATTAACCTAAAACGGTGATGGGCCTAGGTGATGAAGTTGGGGAAGAATGAATTCTCATAAAACCTTAGAACATTTTAAGAAGTCTACTTTCTTAAAATTTCTATTGTTTGGCTTTCCAATTAATCCAAACAAACAAATTATTACCTTATCAACAACAAGGGTGAAATCTTCAGTCATGGGTGACATGGCAATGGGTGAATGACTACTTGTAATTTGTGATGCGGAGTGCTGAAGGCTTCATCAAAGTGAATGTGGAGCCAATTTAAGCTTTCAAACACTAAAAAGAATTCCTGAATTTTCTCCTCCCAAAGGCAATCATCTAAAAGTAACCTAATTTCTAAATATTTTATGAATAGAATTGTAGAAATTTGAGAGTATTTTAAGAATTGAATTATGACAATTTAGGGATATTTTAGAAATAAAATTATAGGATCTTAAGATTTTAAGAATTTGAGAAAAATTTTAGAGATATTTAAAAAAATCAATTTTAATTCTAATGGATATTTTATTAATTTATCATCAGGGTCAGGAATTATATGCAAATCCTATCTTCGCCCTAACCCTATTTAAGATTGGGAAAAACGGAAAAACCCACCCTATTCAGGGCGTGGCCTCGATTTTAAGGAAAAAAATTGTCATCCCTACACCTCGCAAAGTCAAAAGTGACTGCATTCAAGCCCTCCAAACAGGCACCTAGTTTGACAGATTCCATACTGTTTTCTTGGTAGAGTCAGATTTCCATACAGATTCCATACCTTTAGCTTTTAGCTGGTTATGAAGTTAAACATTTCATACTGATTTCTTGGTACAGTCATCATATTGACAGATTCCAGCATTCCGCCCAAGTGCACGTTGCCATGTACTATGACTCGTTTTAACGAAAAAATTGAAAAAATTAAAAAAATAAAAATCAGTCAAACAATTAAACAGTTTGATCACCCGAGTCAATGGTTTGTTGACCAAATCAACAGTTTTAGAAAAAAATAACGGTTTTAAAGTAAAACAACTGACTGATTCCTGGTTTTTCTGATCCGACCATCCTGGTCCAGTTTTGAAAAGCACTTGCTGAAAAATTGGGGTGAGGAGCATATCCAGATTCCGGACTCGAACATGAAACTAAGATAATTATATAGTAAAAATAATGGACATTTAGGGTTACATGAAGCGATGAAACCCAATAGATAGGGAATTTGATCCAACTGGGGCAACCCCATCCCCTCAAAAATGTCAATCATGTTCATGTGGAATATCCACGATCAATTGTGTGTGTTTTTTTGTACTTTCACATGCACAGACTATTTCTTTGAGATGGTTTCATTAACGGGTGCCCTCTAACCACACACTTATCTTCAACTATTAATCTATTGTATAGTGTAGATTTGGGTATTACTTGTAGAGTGGATTAAGTACAAGCTTTCAAATTGCACCTTGTATTGTTTATTAGTTGAAGCGAATCCATTCGCTTTATTGGGAAACTTTTTCTTTCAGAAAATATTCCTTTTTCTTGTGTGGGAAAAGGCTACTTTCAGAATTTGTGTGATAAAGCAGAGGGCAGGCACAATTAGGAAAAAGCACTCTGTGAGAGTAAAACCCAAACGATATCTATTTTTGAATTGTTAGAGATCAATTTCTCGAAAGGTTATGTTTGGTTTGAAGGAAAAGGTAGGAAAAGGAAGAAAAAAGCATGAAAACCTATACAAAATTGATAAAAGTTTCTTTGTCTATCCTTTCTTTTCCCTACTTTTTCCTTTAAACCAAACATAGCCAAAAGAAAAAAAAAACAAAGAAATCAAGAAGTTGTAGAGGCCTGGTGGGCATGGAACAGGATTTTATTCCGCCGTTTGGCATGGTGCCATGGTGGTGGGGTTTCTCTTTCCTTTGTTTCATTGGGTGGGGGGATCACATCAGTCTTAATGGAGGATTGTCCTTAATTATGTCATTGCATGGGCCCTTTTCATATGATTTTTCTTCTCTGGGGGATAATCGTAAGATCATAGTGCTCAAGCACAGTTTAGAAAAGAGTATGAATACAAATATCTATACAAAATACAAGGTTTTGCATTGTACATATTTATATCCCTAATTTCGTACCCTTTTTAATGCCACATGTTCCATATCCTGCCAATGAACAGGACTCACCCAACAGATGGACTCTGAAACACCATCAAACTGTACTGATACCAGTTGTATATTCCAATTTACATCTTCTCAGTAGATCATATTGATTTTGTATGCAATCTGTAACTGGGGTGGAAGTAATTTTCATGGTTTGTGTGATTCCTCACACATACAACTCGATTCAACCAAGTCCAAGTCTTGTCCCAAAAATATGATATAGTTATAGTTACATGAATCTATTCTGCCTTGTGGTCTACCTAGGGCTGATTGGCTGTTTTAAGATCCCCTTCACTTCTTCTTACTGGTGGTATGGATGATCTTATCTACATCTCTCAAATCTATTTTCGTCCATTTTTCACTATTTTAGCATTTATTGGATCAACCATCAGATTCTTCTCAATGATTAGTTCAATCACCACCCAACCTTGGCTACTAAACAAGCTTTCCTATTTTCCTCTGTACAATGAATTATCATTCTCTATTATTAGAGTTTATTTTATAAGACTATGATTAGAGCTTAGGAAAGGAATAAAAGAGGCAGAGTAACATGGCATATATTGAGTTGAAGTGTTGAGCCTCCACCACAACTTTTGATAAGATAGATATATTTGTATATTAAGATATTTGTGTAATTACATAGCAGCCTCCAAAGTCCAAATGCAGATAATTGAGAATTGGATAAGATGGATAATTTAGAGTTGTGGAATTTGGATAATGTGTGTGTGTCTCTCATCCGGCGGGTTGTTGGGAGTTGGTCTATAGCCTTACAAGTATAATAGGGTGCTTCCTATGAAGTAAGAACACTGCCTAGATATTTAACGTAACACTCTTGGGCCTTGGGCCTGGGATATTATTCCATAGGTCAAGGGACTTAATAAATGCAAAGCTGTCCGGTCCCACTGGATAATGCTGGATTGCTGGGTTTATCTTTCGGGCTCCATCCACCAAAGGAGTAAAGAAGGGACGCATCACGCACGCACGTCCATGATCAATCTGGTCAATTGGTTGTGGTGGGCTTACACATTCCGTAGCCCACAAGTCCACAGGCACTATTAAAGAATTTCAAAGAATATTGGCATATTCCAAAGAATGTGGGTCCCATTTCCCAACATGCGYATTCAAATTGACCTTTTGGTTTGTTTTAGAACAACCGGATTGATCACGACAAATGGACGACGATGATGATGGTAATACACTATACAATGTGTCCTGCTCCATTGGCATTGTCTTGGAAAAACAAAGTGGCAGGGTCAGGGTGGGACCCTACCCCTAGAAGCTTTAATGATGCTGAGCCTAACAAAGGGGCCGGCGCCCAGCGGTGCTCACCCCGTGCCCGTCACCCGATTGAGTTGAATCAGTGGGCGCGCTCCGCTCTCTATCTACTCTAGTCCCTTTCTCTGACTCTGATTATAAATTAAAACTAAAAACATACGGGTCTGGGCCGCCTGGCCACCGCTCCGAGAAGACGAACACATAGGGTGAATGGGCGGGCCCCCACAAAATCAATAGTGAACAAACAAACCGCTCGAAGTAGTCTAGTGAGTATGGGTGAGTGGGCCCCTAGAATGAATGGATTATTTCGTTTCTGCTCCATTTAAATAGGAGGACGCTCCATTCGATGGTTGATAAAGAAGCCACGTGGCTAATTCGGCCCATGTTTGCAAGGAATGACGTGAATTTTAATTGAAAGGAGCCTATGGAGCTAAAGCAAATTCCTGTTTTTATTTTAGACCCAGACACCCAGTTCTAACTTCTCACGTCTATGGCGTAATAAGCCATATTAGACYAGACGGACTGTTGTTGGACACGGAAGATAGGAATGTTGAACACCTGTTCTAGCCTAGGACACTTCCCCCTTCGGCCTTCCCCATGCAAATTGCGATTTTGGCCATTACGCCATCACTTTCACTTTAGTCTTTAGGTGCCCACCGTTTGATTCTTGTTTTTCTTTGTTTCTGATTTTTCAAAAGCCATGGAGATACAGAGTCGGAGCCAAGAGAGTTTAGTTAAAAGTCAAGTTAAGAGCTTCAGTTTTACGCGCTCATTTTTTAACAAACCCAGAAGGACCAATCAACTCACAGTATTATTTCAATCAGACGCCATTTTTCTTTTTCAATCGCCCAGACCCAGCTAACTCCATTACCTGCATACAGACGCAAAAATGGTGGATTTTGCTTTGTCTTTTGGCCTCCATCCATATCCATATTCTTCCATAGAATAGACAATAGACACAACATCCATCACGCGTTCCCATTACCCCTGGACTCTCTTTCTATCACAATTCTGAACTGATCACTTCTCAATTCATTAAATTAAAGCGGCAAAGCAAGCATCCCGTTGCTCTCCATGCCTTATAAATAGACCGTAGCTTTTTGATATCCGATAATCTGATTTCCAACCAACTCTTCCAGAGTTCCAGTTCCAATTTCCAAGTACAACCACACACCAGTGACACCACTACCATTCTTCAATCTCTCTTCTTTTTCTTCTTACTCTTCTAAAACTCACCGTCGATCATAATTCATAAAGAGAAGAAGAAAACTGCATTTTTTTTTCTTCAGTCTTGCTTTTGGTTTGCCATCTGAATTGTAAATTCTGTTTCTGTAACAAGTACTCACCACCCAGATCATGGCACCTAAACTTGGTAGAGTTCCGAGCATTCGAGAGAGGGTAGAGGACACCCTCTCTGCTCACCGCAATGAACTCGTTTCCCTCCTCTCCAGGTAGGAACTCTTTCTTATTCATCTCCTCTGTATTATCAAATTAACACTTTCGGAGAAGCTCAGGCTTTCGATTATTTTTATTATTGTTTTTCTTAAGAAAATAATATTAATACATATTTAATATTCTGTGAAGGTACATGGGACAGGGTAAGGGAATTCTGCAACCACATCATCTAACAGACGAATTAGCCAACGTCGTTGGAGACGATAAAGGAAGGAAGAAGCTTACTGAGGGACCTTTCAGTGAAGTTCTCCGATCCGCCCAGGTGCGCTCAGTTTTTTTTTTTTTTTTTTCTATATTAAAAATTGACAGAAGATGTCTAATTTCTCCTTATGTGGGCTTGTACAATGACGTACGTATGTCAGACTGTGATATCTGATTTGTCTATTTGCTTTTTGGTTGAAAGGAAGCTATAGTGCTTCCTCCGTTTGTCGCAATAGCGGTTCGTCCGAGGCCCGGTGTTTGGGAATATGTTCGGGTTAACGTCTATGAGCTCACTGTGGAGCAGTTGAACGTGTCCGAGTATCTTCACTTCAAGGAACAACTCGTCTGTAACAGGTAACCATTTAACCAACCTCTCTCTCTCTCTCTCTCTCTCTCTTCGTTCTTGGGATTCTAATAATTTATTAACTATAAATTAGCTTTTTTGTTCTGTAAATAATGTAGTCTGGGGTTTATTTCAGTTTCAATGACAAGTTCGTGTTTGAGCTTGATTTCGAACCCTTCAATGCAACGTTCCCTCGCCCCAGCCGATCCTCGTCCATCGGCAATGGAGTTCAATTCCTTAACCGTCACCTCTCATCCAGTATGTTTCGTAACAAAGACTGCTTGGAGCCTTTGCTCGATTTTCTTCGAGCACACAAAAATAAGGGCCATGTGAGTCCCAAATGTGCATCTGCAGGCTAGAACACTTTGGTTTTCATTTTATTTGTTTCCCAGATTTTGAAGCTTTCATTTGTTAGTACTGCTAATCAGACTATCTAGTTGTATGCTGCTTTTCATCCAAAATTGGTTCTTGATATTCCCAGATCTTTGTTCATTTGTTTTACCTGTGCGGTCATTACATCAAAACTGATTCTCAATAAAATTAATTTACAAAATAATACGTGCAGGCGCTGATGCTGAATGATCGGATACAGAGCTTATCAAGACTTCAACATAATTTGGCCAAGGCGGAGGAATACCTCTCTAAGCTCCCGCCTGATACACCATACTCTGATTTTGAGCACATGTGAGCTACAAATAATAATAGTTGCTAAACTGTTGTACCATTCAAGTGCTTCCCATGATTTTACTTTATCATTTATGGTTTTTCCCATTCATCCAGATTCCAAGAATGGGGTTTTGAGAAAGGTTGGGGTGATAATGCAACACGCGTCTCTGAGATGGTTCGTCTTCTATTGGACATTCTTCAGGCCCCTGATCCATCTACCTTGGAGACGTTTCTTGGGAGGATTCCAATGGTATTCAACGTTGTCATTGTATCTCCACACGGTTACTTTGGGCAAGCAAATGTCTTAGGTTTGCCTGACACTGGTGGGCAGGTATCATGCTTCTTGTTCTCCATGCTCTGCCATTCTGAATCACATATGCAATGCAAACTTGGATCCCCTGTTTTCCTGTTTCTATGTTTTGATGTCGTTTATACTTCAAACCATTTTCTTCTCCGTTCCCCCCCCCCCCCTGCCTGACAAATATGGTAATAGTCACCATACTGTTCATGGGCACTGGACACTGGTAGGACAATTTGATCATTGATAGGACATTTTTGTTCAGTTTTCTAATTTCCGTGCAGATTGTTTATATATTGGACCAAGTGCGTGCTTTAGAGAATGAGATGCTTTTAAGACTTCAGAGGCAAGGGTTGAATAATGTCACTCCTAGAATTCTGATTGTAAGCAGTTCATCATCCCTTGCTTAGCCCATGATTTAAATGATAGTCTGTTTTTCCTATTCGTTTCACTTCCTCAGTAAGTGATATATTGGGATCTATCTAACACTTTTCTCATTTATGGTCCAAGGTGACCCGTTTAATACCTGATGCAAATGGGACAACATGCAATCAACGTTTGGAAAGAATCAGTGGGACAGAAAATACGCATATTTTGCGGGTGCCTTTTAGGACTGAAAAAGGAATTCTCAGGAAATGGATCTCAAGGTTTGACGTGTGGCCATACCTGGAGAAATTCACAGAGGTAATATGTTGTTTACTTAGCTATTAAGTTACGAGCTGCTTGGTATTTCCTCCAAATGACATTTTTCTATTAGAGGTTCTCCCTTGATAGATTTCTCCATTGCTAGGTCTTTTTTCTTGTAATCTTTGTTATTCATTGTGCATCAGAATTGGTGGTTAGACATTAACTTGATTCACATTGATAGAATTTTCAAAATTTTAGGGCAGAGGCATCTTATAAAAAAGGTTTCAAGATATTTGTGGGCAAATGAGTCAGTCAACATATGTTGCCTTTTGGGCATCATGGATGGGATAGCAAGTTCGAGATATTTGTGGTCAGGCAGTTAACATACTGATAACTTGGTGCCAAATTGTTTTCACGTCGAGGTGGGACAGTAAGGAAGCGCAAAATATGCCCTGAGAGAAAACAAGGCAAAATAGAACTTGATGCTTGACATCTATAATATAGTATTTGAGGCTTTATATGTATGACAATGGGAGAAGGTGTTTAGTTACAAGGTAAAAGATGTCTAAAAATTTTCTAGAGTTGGTCACTTTGGAACAATCATTAGGATTATTGTCTAATGCTAGATTTCACATTACAGACATACTTCTTTCTTTATCCAGTCGTCAGGGAGAGTTGTTTCTACTATATTTTATCTAAACTTTCCTTATTATAAGTGGTCCTATCTTCTTTTTGATGATGAATACAGTTATACTGTTTCTAACTTATCAAAGAAGAGAGATAATTAGTGACATTTTGTTGAAGATCATTCATCATATGCATGGTTTTTAGAAAATACATCAGGAAGGATAAGTTACTGTAAGCTAACCAGAGTGTCAATCCCTTATTACAAGTCTAAGTTACAAGGATGCCCAAAACAATTGGTGCCTCATAACCCCTTGTTTGGCTAAGGAGTCAGCTAACCCACATGTTGATTTGATGTTCATAACTTAACTTATAATACCCAAGAATACTGATATATGATTAGCTCAAGATGTTGGACCTGAAACAACAACAGATGCCGTATGGAAACTTGTAGATTGTACTTAATATCAGTAAACACTTCAAAATATATAAAATAACATATTTTAACAAATTATACATAAAAAAATCATATATGTTCGAAATTTAATTAAATTTAGAGAGATACAAGTATCAGAATGATACTTAGGTTTAAATGTATACACTAGATAGATAAGCATGATATAAGCATATTAATTGGGATACCCATATTTGTATTTGCATCTAGATCTTAGAAAAAAGAGAGTTGCATCTCTGTTTCTTAAATCCATATCCATGCTCATGTTGGTACCTGTCTTGGGGCAACATAGAATGTAACTCCCTTACAATTTTCTCTGATGTTTAGCTGTAGAAGTCCTTTTCTTTGCCTTAATTTTAGTAGATTCTATGAGAGTTACCATTTCCTATGGGAATTTTTGTTTTATGCAGTGTTGTAACATTTTTGTTATTCAGGGGTCACCTTTTACTTTGAAGGTGACAGTTGTTTCTTATAGTTTTATCTAATGAAAGTTACCGTTTCCTATCAAAAAAAAATAGTAGATTCTATGAGTTTAGTAAACTTAAAACTTTTCATTATGTTGTCTATTTGCTGAAGTGGAGTATTATATTTTTTATTTACATGTTTATGGCATGTTCCTTATCATTTGGCTGTTGTTATTAGGATGCATCAAGTGAAATTGCTGCTGAGCTACAGGGTATTCCAGATCTGATCATAGGCAACTACAGTGATGGGAATCTTGTTGCATCTTTATTAGCTCATAGGCTAGGAATAACACAGGTCCGTTATGCTTTTGTTTTACTTTTACCTGTTTTTTCCCTTTTTTCTTTGTTTTACTTTTGCTTGTTGTTCATTATAAATGACAGTCATAAGTATATATTAGGAGATGGAATGTAATTTTAAAGTTGTGATTTACATGCAGTGTACAATTGCTCATGCATTGGAAAAAACAAAATATCCAGATTCTGACATATATTGGAGAAAGTTTGAGGACAAGTACCATTTCTCATGCCAATTTACTGCTGATCTAATTGCCATGAATCATGCAGATTTTATCATCACAAGTACATACCAAGAGATTGCAGGAACGTATGCCCCTTAAACTGTCATCATTTATTTATTTATTTCAAATGGTTAGTATCGTAGGTGTAAATTTTACTGTTCGTGTCATCCTATATACCCTATAATATTATTTTGAGATCAGATAGTCTAAAAGAAGAAAAAGAAGAATTATTTTTTGTTTCTAATAATGTGTCTCTTAATTATCTCTTTGTTGGTAGAATTAGCAAAACATGTGTACCTCAAGTCAACTCAACTGAACAAAGCATTATCCCAGCTATATAATGTCCAAAACATGTATCTAATATGGTATTTTCCTAAGTTTATTGATATGTTAAGCACTTCTACTGGGGTGATAAGTGTGCAATCTGTTAACTTTGGTGTATTCACTAGGAACAGTTTTAAACTAAAGTTGCATTTCTGATACACTTGATATCATCACTGCAAAGACCATATAAGAAATTTGAAATTCTGTCTGAGACCTATGGCAGGGGCTTCCGATTCCATTGGCTTATGAAGTCTCTGATTGTTTATGTGAATGGTCAATTGAACCAAATTGAAATATCATGAATGTCAAGTACTGTATCAATTATAACACTTAATTTAATTAATCCCTGTAAACAGGAAGTTTATCTTCCTGTAATTACTACAAATGCAACTTTGCAAATCTCAAGCTTTTACTATTATGTCAAAGTATGGATGACTAAGTTTTAGGTAAGCAGAAACAATATAAGAAAGCCACACTATATAAGCCGAACAGATTGCCATGTGCAAGGGGTCCAGCATGATTCAGTTTTCAGGAAAACCTTGCAAAACCATGAACTCCTACCAATTGGGTCCTAGGTTTCCTTCTGTTGTGAAAAATGTTGCTAGACAGGTATTTTCTTGTTTTAGCTTAAACCTTCATTCTGTTGCCATGCCTTTTCTAATGAACTGTTAATATTAAACATTAACATCATTTGTTAGGTTGTGAGAAAAGTGTTGGGCAGTTTAGAAATAGCATGTCAAAAAAATGATTGTGGTAGAAATGCGACTGTTTGGATGAATGAGTGGTAAAACAAGAAAGAACATTGTTAGAAATGAAGTCATATGCTGAAACTTAGGAGTAGCTCCAATAGGTGATAAAATGACAGAAAGTAGATTTAGAGCTGATAGGGAAGATGTGATAAGGGGATGGAGAATAGGCACAAACCGAATTCCAGTAACTCACCTTCAGTTTGCAAATGACTTGTTGATCTTCTGTGATGGAGGCTTCAATGAGAAGGTGGGAAACCTAAAAGAATTGATTAGAGCTTTCGAAGGAGTTTCCAATTTGAAAATCAATCTAGAAAAGAGCTGCATAGCCAGAGTCAATCTAGACTTTGAGGAGGTTGAGGCGGTTTCCGATTGTCTTGAGTATTCCATTTCTTCTTGGCCTTTGTCCTACTTAGGGCTTCCGTTAGGGACAAACCCTAAGGAGAGTAGGTTTTGGACCCCAGTCTTGGAGAAGATCGAAAAGAGATTAGCTTTGTGGAAGAAAATTATATCTCTTTGGGTGGGCGGATCACTTTGATAAGAGTTACCCTCATGAATCTACCTACTTATTACCTCTCTGTCTTTAGGGTACCATCTAGGGAAGCGAAGAAACTGGAAAATTTGATGAGAGATTTTCTTTGGGAACTGGAAGAAGGTATAAAAGATCACTTAATTAGTTGGGGGTTGTGGGTAGAAGCAAAGAGGAAGGAAGATTAGGACTTAGGAATGTGCTTAAAAAGAACTCAGCTTTGTTAGGGAAGTGGTTGTGGAGGTGGCCTTTGGAGCAAGATAGACTCTGGCACGAAGTGATGAAGAGTATTCTTGGATGTTCAGATAGTGGATGGGATGTTGGTGCGTCAAGGAGGGCTAATCTAGCTACACCATGGAAAGCAATTCATAAAATTCTTCCGCAGTTCCTCAGTTGTGTCAGGTATGATGCTTGTTCTGGTAATTCTATTCGGTTTGGGGAGGACATTTGGGCTAGAGATCTCCCTCTAAAAGACCTTTTTCCATCCTTGTACTCTGTTTCTTTGTATAAAAAAGAGGTGATCTCAAAATTCCTTCAGTCGATTTTAAATTTGTCAGTGATGTCTTAGGACTTTGGTTTCCATAGAGGGTTAAGGGATGAGGAAGTTGATTGTTTGTCTACTCTTCTTTGTTGGTTTGGTTGGATCCTTCAAAGCCTGATAAGAGGATTTGGGCCATTCACCCCAATGGGTCTTTTTCTTGTGGTTCCTTTTTCAATTTCCTTTGCCAAACATCCTCTCAACAAAGTTTCCCTTCCAAGGAAGTCCGGTGTAGGCCGGTCCCCCCATGGTTATGGCTTTGTGTTGTGGACAACTTACAAAAGAGAAGACTTGTCCTTTGTATTTCACCAAACTGGTGCATTCTTTGCAGATCTCATGGTGAGGATTGTAATCACCTATTTTTATCTTCTAGTGTAACTGTAGAGCTCTGGGTTTGGTTTCTATCTTTGTTTGGTTGTAGTTGGGATATGCCAGCAGAAGTAAGCACAACCTTTAACCCTTCTTTTTTCTCTTGGCCCCATAAAAGAGGAAGGAAAATGTGGAGGTGCGCGTGAGCAGCATTGTTATGGATAGTATGGGAAGAAAGAAATGCCAGGATCTTCCAAGAAAAAGGAAGGAGCAGTCAAGCCTTAAAGGACTGCATTATGTACAGGTCAATACAATGGCTAAAGACCCTAGAATTGTTTAACCATTTCTCTTTTACTGATTGTTGGAAGGATTGACTATTAGTAGCAAGTTGTTCCTCCTCCAAGGTAAGAGTATTGACTAGTTGGGTCCCCCCTCCTCTTGGTTCTTTGAAGCTGAATTTTGATGGGAGTAGCTATGGTAACCCCGGTCCCTCTGGGATGGGAGGTGTACTGAGGAATGAGGCTGGAGAGGTCGTCTTACTCTACTCTGTCCCTTTAGGTGTTGGGAACTCTATCCGGGCAGAGATGTTAGCTGCAATACAAGGAATACTTCTTGCAAAAGAAGTGGGCGTGGAGCAGCTTCTGATTGAAGGGGATTCTAAGACGTTGGTGGATTGGTTAAATAATCCAGAGGATGTCACTTGGGGCTATAAAAATGAGTTAAAGAAATTCAAATGGCTGACAAGAAATATGTCTATAACAGTATAGTGGGTTGGGAGATCAGCTAATGCATTTGCCGATGTCTTGGCAAAACAAGGGACAAGTAGGGAAATATTGTTTTGGGTGCAACTGTAACTCTTATTTAAAATTAACATTCATGCAATTTCTATTGTAGTTTATGTATTTGCTGTTTGGAGAGGCAGCACCTCGCGCCTCCAAGGGGATTTTCATGTAACCAATCTTTGAAATAATGAAAGATGATTTTATTTATCAAAAAAAAAAGACAGAAAGTAGATTGAGATGGTTTAGTCACGTGCATAGGAGACCACCTACAGCACCTGTTAGAAAAAGTGATCTTTTACAAGTTAAAAGGGCTAGAAGAGCTAGGGGTAGACCAAAAAGGAATTAGGTGGAAGTAATAAGAAATGATTTAAGCACCCATAATTTAACAATGAATATAACACTGAACAAAATGGAATTGCAAAAACAGAATTCATGTAGCCAACCCCATATAGTTCGGACAAGGCTTAGATGATGATGATCATCTGTCCTTTATAGTAGGTTTCAACCCTAACAGAGCATGGTGATGTGTGATAATTATTGAAATTTCTGTCTGAACTTGTTATTTGTTAGGACCCGAATTGACTCACACCCTTAGGCCCAAGCTGCTCCAGCCCAAGTCCATGGTCCTTCGGGTAGAAATAACAGACATGCATTGCCTCCCATTAAATATGTTTACATCAGCAGGCCACATCATCCCAACTAGCTTCCATCACATGAAGAATGCATGAGCACATTACCATATAAAGGTTGTTTTATAACCAATTGAATCAGAAGAGAATAATTCAGATATCCCTCTCTCCCTCTCTGTACTCATTCTTATTTCAGGAGGTTGAGCTCCCTTGAAGTAGCTCAAGTACCAGATCAGGGTTATGATTATTCTCTTATTTTTTCTTTAAAAACTCATTTTTATAAGTTTTTAATGGTAATTGATTTTTAGCATCACTCTCTTTGCATTGCTTTGATCTGAGTTCAAGTCTTAAAAATCTCAACCTGACTTGCATTCTGTCACTGTTCGCTCTATGCAAAAGCATTGATCAGATGGACCATTTCTACTTTACAATCATGTGGTCACATGTTCAAACCCAGCTTACTCATGCAGACATTATTTTGCAAATTTATCTGCAGTTGCCACAAATTATTTTTGTATGTTTTTTTACCTGTTTGTATTGGATAGTTGCATGAAGCATCAGTTCTCAAGCACACAGATGTTTTTCTTTTTTTTCTTTTTTTGGATCATCCACCACATTTAATTGAAAATTTTAGGAGACTAGTGCAACATAAAACATAATGTTCTTGTCATCGAAATCATTCCAAATTAATTGATGTGAAATTGTGAATATTGTTATCATTACTTGAACGTGAAACATCACTGCTCCACCATCTGGAGTGCATCCATAACTTAAATCAAATCAATCATTGTTGGTGAACTTCAGTAGCAGTGTCTGTGCTAGTTTCAATACTTGTATAGCAAGTAGCAATAAAACATGCCACTGCTTTAACTTGTATTCTATTTATTTCAGCAAGAATACTGTTGGGCAGTATGAGAGCCACGCCTCTTTCACTCTTCCGGGGCTGTACCGAGTTGTCCATGGCATTGATGTTTTTGATCCGAAGTTCAATATTGTCTCTCCAGGAGCAGATATGACTATTTACTTCCCATACTCAGATAAAGAAAAGAGACTTACTGCTCTACATGGTTCAATTGAAAAGCTCTTATATGACCCAGAGCAGAATGATGAACACATGTAAGTACGTTGTATTTTATAGATACACATGCAAGTACCTAATTATACCTTTTTTGCCAACTTACGCATCTACGAGAACTTGTCACCTTTTATTTATTATTCTTCTTCTGTAGACAGCTCTTAGATGCACAGAATGTAGCACACGTACAAGAAAATGTATGCATATTGGTGCTGGGTGAATCTCTAGAATAAGGCAAAAAGGATTAGCAACTATTGAACCATTTTACAAAATAAATCATGGAAAAAATGAAAAGCTACTTCTTTTATTTGTGCTGTTTAATTATTCAAGTTTTTTATATAGTTGTCAATTGCTGATAACTAGGAAGTTCTTGAATCAGACTTGAGGATATCTAGAGTCAACATTGGTTTGGCTGATTAAATCTTGGTTCTGCACCAATCCAGCCAAAAATGGTGTTATTGTTTATTATAACAGTTTTGCCCTTATGAAATATTTCTTGAAAATTGTGAGTCTGCAAACTATTGTTTTGATCTGAAGAATATGAATATTTTTGGTTTTGAATGTGTTATCATACTTTATCCAAGCTTTTATTTCCTACTGGGTTGGGGTATTCCTAAACTCAGTACTTGGGAGGGTTCTTTGTAAACGCTAATATTTGAGGTAAGTGTAGTATCTTTTTTAAATAGTAAGAGGATTAAAGTGAATAAATAAGGTGCTTCTTGCAAAAATTGATGATGTAACGATTGGTCAGCATTTGTTAATCTGGCAATTTGTGCAACTGCAGTGGTACTTTAAGTGATCACTCAAAGCCCATTATCTTTTCCATGGCGAGGCTCGATCAAGTGAAAAACATAACAGGTCTGGTTGAGTTCTATGGTAGGAACTCCAGACTAAGGGAACTGGCAAACCTTGTTGTTGTTGCTGGTTACAATGATGTGAAGAAGTCCAACGACAGGGAAGAAATAGAAGAGATTGAGAAGATGCATGGCCTCATAAAGCAGTACAACTTGGATGGGCAGTTCCGTTGGTTATCTGGCCAAACAAATCGGGCACGCAATGGTGAGCTCTATCGTTACATTGCTGACACAAGAGGTGCTTTTGTCCAGGTAAACATTGATGGCTCTGCTCACTCTTTTGATTCCACACTACCTATGGTAAATTTAACTTTCTTTATATTGCTTCTATGCAGCCTGCTTTTTATGAAGCTTTTGGGCTTACAGTTGTGGAGGCCATGACTTGTGGCTTGCCAACATTTGCCACTTGTCATGGAGGACCTGCTGAGATTATTGAACATGGTATCTCAGGCTTCAATATTGATCCTTATCACCCTGACCAGGCTGCTGCACTTATGGTTGATTTCTTTGAACAGTGTAAGAATGACCCTGACCACTGGATTAAGATCTCTGAAGCAGGGCTTCAACGAATCTGTGAAAGGTATTCTTTCTTGATGTAGATCTCTTACCTTCATATTTTGATCTTTGTTTCAACTTCCTTGCTTTCCTGCAATATCACCATTTCTGCAAGTAATTTTGTAGGTATACATGGAATATCTATTCTGAAAGGCTAATGACCCTTGCTGGAGTTTATGGATTTTGGAAGTACGTGTCAAAGCTTGAAAGACGGGAGACCCGGAGATACCTGGAGATGTTCTACATTTTAAAGTTTCGGGATCTGGTTAGTGCTTCAACAATATACTTTGCTTTTTTATGCATACTAAATGATGATAATCCATTCAACAATATACTTTGCTTCAACAATCAGTCACCCTCGCTTTAATAACCTAGATGCTTCATGGTATGGTAGAGGCAAGTTAATTTCCCTCTTGTGTCTTTCAGGTAAAATCTGTTCCACTGGCAGTTGACGATGAAAACTAGATGCAGATTTCTCCAGGAAGGAGTTTTATGTCACTGAAGAATAAAGAAATATCTGCTAGATTAAAATGGAATTTGAATAAAGTTTCTGTTGTGTTCAAGTTGATTCTGGTGGAGTTGACTGGATCCCAGATGTTTTCTAGATGAACATATGCATGCACATGATAGAAGATCAAAATTCAGCACCTTGTGAATATTCATCATCATCATCATTCAGTATCATCGAAGTCTTGTTTTTAGGGGTTGATTTCCCAAATCCTCTTTTCTCCTTCCTCGTCAGTTTAATGCTGAGTTATGTACAATATTGAATAATGTTAATTGTAAAAGCTAAAATACTTGTATCATATGGGACAATGTAAGGTTGTTCACTGTTGCTTTTCAATTGCTACTCAAAATGGTTTTTGCGGACAGCAAGGCCAGAAGCCAGTTGTGCATTCGTGATAGAAGCTAATCTCAAGCAGCACCTAGTAATGTATTCATCAGTCATGGGACAGAAGTTTGGTGCTATTTTCACATGCATATTTGAAAGGAATATGGCCCAGATGTAGGCCCTCAGCAAACCATATTAACTGCCATATATTTCTTGTCAGGGATTCCATGTAATGGCATTGGAAGGTTTGTTTGATCCGCAGAGCAGTTCCATCCATGTTGGAGTTGGATACACGATACTGCACCGCACCTCCTTGGCTGATTTGTTTTCAAAGTGTCCAAACCTCCAATGTCCATAGCTACAGGCTTCTCGTGAAGCCACTAATCACAAACCAACAATCTTCTATTGCTTAATGCTAAGTGGGCAATTGTGAAGCAGCAGTGGTGAGAAATATTAATTCTCAAAGCCTTTGGAAAATTCCAGTTGAACCGAAGGTGGAGCTCTTCTTATGCAGAGTTTGTCCGGTCTGTTCCAGCACAAATGAAACTGTTATGCATGCTTTATTTGAATGTAACTATGGCAGGGCAGCTTGGTTTGGCAGTATCTTTGGGTATAAGTTTGATTCTTCTGCTGGCCCAGATTCTTCTTCTGTTTGGATGCAGAATGGGTAACAAAATGTGTGGATGTTGGCTCTGAGAAACAGGAATTACTTGTTTATACTGCTTACATGCTATGGCAGATTTGGTTAGCCAGAAATAGTATGAATTTTGATGGCACTAATTGTAAAGCCTCTATAATCTTGCGTGTTAAAAGGTTACAGATGGAACATTGGAGTTTGTTTCAGCAGGCCTTGACAACTTTTCAGCAGAACGGATCCATGGTTAGACCCAGCTTGGTTCTGCCGGAACAAGGGTGATTCAAAGCTAATTCTGATGCGTATTTTGATAAGTAAGGTTCTACATCCTTTGGTGTAGTAATCAGAAATGGGAGGGAAGTTTTTTGTGCTGCAAAATGGGGTGCTGTAGGCTGTAGCTGTGTGTCCCCACTGTTCTAAGAAGCTTTTGCATTGAAGGAAAGTGTTTTACTTGCAAGACAGGCTGGTCTTTTGACTGTAGTTTTTGAGAGTGACTTCCAACACCTTATCTCTTGCCTCAAGTCGTCTGAATCAGAGTGGCCTAAGGAGACTTTTTTTTTTCTGAAATATATATTAAAGCTGGTTGAAGGTATAGTGTTCAGGTTTGTGTAATGAAGCAGCTCACCAAGCAGTGTGGCCTGGGCAGATCAAGTTCCAGAGTGGTTTTTTGGATTCCCTCCTACACTTCTTTGTGATGTTCTCTTTGTTTAGCGTCTGAGATAGCTCAGTGAACACTTGATATCTTTTCTGTTTGCCTTTTTCTTTGTTTGTTTGGTAACTTTTAATTTGTATCGTTTGTTTTTCTGCTTTTTCTTGCTTTGGCTTAGATAGAATACTAATAGCAAGAATATTGACATTGAGTAATGATTCGATGATTAGGTTGATTGAACCCTTTGTGTATTTATAGTAGTCTGTTGTAGTTTGAGTACAATACAAACACTAGGATATAGAGATAGGTTACAACACTCAAGAAGAAAGATAAGTTACAGTAAGGATGAGGAAGATCTGAGTAGAACTTTATCTACAATATGATGCCAATCTGAGTAGGAGACTATCGAGATAAGCATGATCTAATACTTCCCCTCAAGTGAAATGTCCAGGCAGACATGAAGCTTGGACCTTAGAGAGATGAAACGACTGCCGCTGATCGGCTTCATGAGAAGATCTGCAACTTGATCATCAGAGGATATAAACTGAACAGATAGAGAGCATTTGAGGACGAGGTCCCGTAGGAAATGGAAGTCAATTTCAATATGTCTTGTGTGAGCACGAAAGACAGGGTTGGCAGCAAGATATGTAGCATCAATGTTATCACGCCAAATAACTGGTACCGTTGGGAATGAGAGGCCTAAGTCTAAGAGCAAGGAACGAACCCAAAGTAATTCAGTGGAAGCATTGGCACAAGCCTGGAATTCAGATTCCATGCTTGAACGAACAATGGTGGATTGTTTCTTAGAGCTCCAGGCAACTAGGTTCAGGCCTAAGTAAATGAGATAGCCTCCAGTGAAGCGTTGTTTGTCTAGGCATCCAGCCCAATCAGCATCAGAGAAAGCTTGAAGAGTGAGAGGAGTGAATGCGGAGTAGAAATGGAGTCCATGATTGGCCATGTGTTTTAGGTACCATAGGATCCGTTTAACAGCAGCTCAGTGTTCCTTAGTAGGAGATTGAAGAAATTGGCAAATCTTGTTGGCGGAGAACAAGATGTCTAGCCATATAAAAGTGAGATACTAGAGGGCTGTGATACTCAAAAGGGTCCTAAAGAGAGTCCCCACTAAATTTAGATAGTTTAGAGTTCGCCACTATAGAAAGTAGTGTGCTGGTTCAATATGTTTCAAGGAGAAGGTTCGACGTAGGGAGGAGACAAGGGACGTGAGTGAAGATTTGGAGGAGATGGTGAGAAGTATGTCATCAACATAAATGAGCATGTATATACCGAGTCCTTCTGATAGATGAATAGGGAGGGATTTGTCGTTGACATATGAAAACCCAACTGAAGAAGATGAGAATTGAGGCAAGAACACCAGGTGTGGGGAGCCTGACGTAGTCTGTACAAGGCCTTGTGAAGTTTACAAACATGGTGGGGGATATTGGAATCCTCAAAACATTTAGGTTGATGAACATAGATGTCTTCGGAGACATAGTGGCGTAGCGTGTAGCGCGATAACAAAGATTGTCACACGAACAAATCTCAAGATCAAGTTTCAATCCAGAAACCAAATAACACTCACAAAGAGAATTAAGCACACAGCTTGAATAATTGATAAAAAGTTCATTACAAACCCTAAAACATAAAGTATTTATAATGTACCAAAATAATGGCAAACTTGTAAATATTAAATAACCAAAATAAGTAAATAAATTAGCAAGATATCAATAACCAGTCATGAACCGGTGCCGGGTCACAAACAGACCAGGACCGGTCGCAGAACCGGTTCATGATAGAGATTCGAGCCCCCCTCTTCAAGACATCATCCAGCATCGGGTAACATAGGGTGCAGAACCAGTTAGAGGACCGGTTGACAACAAGGATTCCCCTCTAAGGCTGAACCAGCGCCGGTTCAGTTTGTGAACAGAATTGGTCGTAGGGCCGGTTAAGAACAGACACTCCATCATTCACCTCCACTTGAAAAGAACTCGACCTCGAGTCATGATTAGGATATGCAAGTGTCGCCTCAGGCAAACAAAGATGAAGATCAACAACATTAAAAGTTTTGGAAATACCCATGTAATTAGGCAAATCTACCACATAAGCATTGTCATTGATCTTCTTAATAATCTTGTAAGGACCATACTTCTTAGGCTTTAACTTGCTATGCTTCCCAACAGGTATGCGCTCCTTCCTCAAGAATACCATGACTTCATCACCAACTTCAAACACCTTGTACCTTCGATGCTTGTCAACTGTAACTTTATACTTCTCATTGGCCTTTTGAAGTTTCTACTTTACTCCCTTTTGCACTAACTGAATCTGATCTACCAACTGCTCAACTGTAGTACTAAGACCTAGTACCCTGGGTAGCTTCACTAAATCCAAAGCATGATTAGGTACTTTCATATAAACAATAGAAAATGGTGATCTACCTGTAGAACTATGAACTGCATTGTTGTAGGCAAACTCTGCTTGAGCTATAGCAAAGTCCCATTGCTTCGATCTTTCTCTGCAAATACTACGAATCAGATTATCTAAAGTTTGATTCACCACTTCTGTCTGTTCATCAGTCTGTGGATGAGTTGTATTGTTGAAATTCAAAGATGAATCAAATAGCTTCCACAAAGTAATCCAGAAGTGACTCAAGAACCTCGTATCTCTGTCTAAAGTAATGGTCTTAGGCACCCCATTCAAACGAACAACCTCCCTAAAGAATAGTTTGGCTGTTGTTGTTGCATCTGTAGTCTTCTTACATGGAAGGAAATGCGCCATCTTGGAAAACCTGTCAACAATAACAAACACAGAATCCATGTTTCGTGGAGTTTTTGGCAAACCCAACACGAAATCCATAGACAAATCTTCCCAAATAGCATTAGGAACTAGTAAAGGCATGTAAAGACCAGTATTCTAAGTTTGTCCCTTAGTTGTCTGACATATATAACACCTACTCACAATAGTAGTCACATCTCTCCTCAGCTTAGGCCAGTAGTAACGCCCCTTGACAGCCCCAATAGTCTTGTCCCTACCAAGGTGTCCTGCTAAACCACCACTATGCAAATCTCTAATGACTTTCTCGCGAAGGGATGTGTAAGGAATACACAATTGATCACCCTTCATAAAAAAACCATCATGCACATAAAAATCACTCAATGGTTGCCTAGACATGCACTTCTCCCAAACCTGCTTGAAGTCTTCATTTTGAGCATACAAATCTTTCAAGCACTCAAAACCCACAATCTCAACACTAAGAGTCTTAATCAAGGCCACACGTCTACTCAAAGCATCTGCTACCTTATTCTGTTGTCCTGACTTATACACAATCTTGTATGGGAATTTATCAACAAAAACAGACCACCTATCATGCATATCACTCCTCAACTGCTTTTGACTACTTAAATACTTAAGAGCTTGATGATCATTGTAAAGAACTCTTTAGCAATCAAATAGTGTTCCCATGTCTCCAATGCCCTCACAACAACATAAAACTCTTTATCATAAGTAGACCACTTTTTTCTAGCCTCACATAACTTATCACTAAAGAAAGCAATTGGTCTCTTCTCTTGTGATAACACAACACATATACCCACTCCACTAGCATCACACTCAACCTCAAATAACTTGTCAAAGCTTGGCAAAGTTAAGATAGGAGCGGTACATAACTTCTCTTTTATTAGAGCAAAACTTTGCTCTTGTTCCTCTCCCCAATGGAACTTACCCTTCTTTAAACACTCAGTAATAGGAGCTACAATACTACTAAAGTGTTTAATAAACTGCCTATAGAAAGTTGCTAACCCATGAAAACTCTTCACATCACTCACATTCTTTGGAGTTGGCCACTCTCTAATAGCTAGCACTTTCTCCTCATCTACTTTAATCCCATCCTTACAACAAAACCCAAGAACAATAAACTATCACTCATAAAAGTACACTTTTTCAAATTAGCATATAGTTTATTTTCTCTTAACACACTCAATACCTCTGGAATATGCCCCACATGCTCATCAACAGATTTACTATAAATCAAAATATCATCAAAATACACAACAAATTTACCAATGAAAGGGCATAGTACCTGATTCATTAGTCTCATAAAAGTGCTTGGTGCATTGGTTAATTCAAAAGGCATGACTAGCCACTTAAACAATCCATCTCTTATCTTGAAAGTTGTCTTCCATTCATATCCAGGACGGATTCTGATCTGATGATAACCACTTCTAAGATCAATCTTGGTAAAGACCACAACCCCATCAAGTTGATCAAGCATGTCATCAAGTTGATCACTTGTAGCCAATAGTGATTTTGTTGATTGCTCTGTTGTCAACACACATCTTTCTTCGGTGTCAATAATGCTGACACTACACAAGGACTCATACTAATTGAACGTGCCCTTTACTCAATAGCTCCTCTACCTTCTCCCACAAAATCTCATTCTCCTTAGGACTCATCCTATAGTGTGGTAGATTAGGTAGACTAGCACCAGGAACCAAATCAATGTGGTGCTAAATGTCTCGCATAGGAGGTAGCTCATTAGGCAAATCTTCAGGAACTACATCATGAAACTCTTCAAGCAATCCTTGCACCACCACTGGAATTTTATTCACTTCTAGTGGTTCACTCACACTCTCCCCCTTTATAACCAACAAGTGAACCTCTCGGGTATTTTTACACTCCCTTACAAACTCCGAGTGCCGATGCATTATGGTAAGAAAGTTCCTCCCCTCCACTTTTGAAGCTTTGGTTTGGTTCTTTTCCACCATAGGCAACAATGTATAACGCACACCCTCTTTCTCAAGCTGGTATGTGTTCTTCCTACCCAAGTGTTTATCATCTACATCAAACTGCTAAGGTCTACCAAACAAAATATGGCAAGCATCCATATCCACAATATTACAATAAATTTCATCAGTATACTTACCAATAGAAAATGGAACCTTGCAGCGTTCATCCACACGTACGCCACCAACTTCTTTGATCCACCCAATTGTGTAAGGATTCGGGTGTTTCTCAGGAGTTAGTTGCAGCTTCTTCACCACATCTCTGCCAATAATGTTCTCCTGGCTGCCACTATCAATGATCAATTCAAATAATTGACCTTGCACCATACACCTAGTGCGAAACAACCTGTGTCGTTGTGTGTCATCCCCATTTTTCTGAGATAACATAAGCTTCCTCACAACACACATGTACTCCTCATGTTCATAATCACCTCCTTCATCCTCTCCATCAGGCCCACAATACAC